CATTCACCTCGTCGCTAGATAGAGATTTGGGTGTATTATGCTATTAGCGGCTAAAGTAGCCTCAAGCTGCTGGCCTTAAGCAGAGATGAGAAACGAGCTGGTCAGCTCACTTGTTTCAAACTCCACATCCTCAGATTACTTTTCATATTCAAAACTATAGTCTCTAGCAGCAACTGATGGTGACTCAAGTGACATTACTTGAGGCAATTTATCAGACACAACACAACAACTTTTTTCATACGCAGTAGTACACCCCAAGATCTGTAAACAGACTTTGATGAGTAGAATTGGTTGAGTTTCCCTTAAAGCACCAGGAGTTTCCAGAAATATCAGAGTTTCCTATTCACAACTATAGCTTTGTTTTTTGAGTAAAGATATTTTTACCAGTTTGGAAATTACATTTTTATGTTAATGGATTATTGAGTGAAAGTAACTTTGAGAAAAATGAAAGAAAATCAATGGTTACTTGGAGGGTAAAATAAAATTAAACTGTTTACTTATGAGTTGAAACATCCAAAACCAGCAGTTTTGGCTTTATGAACTTAACAAGTTTGCAATCGCACAAGTGTTGAAGTTGAGATTAAAGCGTGTCTGTTAGCGTGTTTATGTGTGGGTGTCATGACAGTAATACTACTAATCTTCCTGTTATTAGATATGGTATTTAAAATCATGGGAACAAAGTGTTCATGGATTTTATCCTTTGAGTGTGTGAGTGTGTTTGTGTGTTTGCTGGCTGGCTCTTCAGAGCCCCAGCAGACCCCACATCGAGCTCTAAGTAGCTCTGATTAAATTTGGCCTCCCTCTGCTCCTCTCCACTGCTTTTAGGATGCAGAGATAATGTTCATTAGGAGAGACGGGCGGGGACTTTGGGAGGCGGATGCTCGCATGTTGCTAAAGTGTGGCTGTAATGGGGACTGATGGGAGGGTAATACAATTTGGTTGCGTTTGGAGCTGTATCTAGGGGTTAATTTTATGAAGTGTGTGTGTGCATGAATGTATGAAGCGTAAAATGCCTCTGTTGTATGAGGGGAGGAGCGAGGCCAAAGTTCAGGTGGGAGTCAGACACTGTGTTCCTGCGTCTTGTCTCGGTTGCACATGTTCGAGGAGTCACATATTACACAGCATTTGTTCAGATGTTATTTTGCTTCTTTTTCCAACTCTCAGGAACAGTGTTAAAGCTTAAAGGAATAGTTTGACATTTTGGGCAATACCCTTTTTCCCTGTCTTGCTGAGAGTTAGATGAGACATTGATCTCTTTCTAATATTTGAACAAAAATGGAGCCAGCAGCCAGATTAGCAAACTTTAGCATAAATACTGAAGAGTCTGGGAAACAGCCAGTCTGGTGCTGTAACAAAATCCACCCACCAGCACCTCTTAGTCTGTACAAATACCAAAGAGAAGCAGTGACTTTGTTGACTTGAGTTCAAGAGACAAAGCCCTCTGGTCGTAATTACGACGGAAGCAAAGACGTAAGTAAGGTGCCAGTATTATGCAGCAATAAAGTTCCTGAAGGACCAGTGGATGGATGGTTACCAGAAGCTGCTGTTCATGCTTAAAGGGACAGCTCACCCCAAAATCAAAAATGCATATTTTCCTCTTACCTGTAGTGCTTTTTATCAATCTACATTATTTTAATTTTCAGTTACTAAGTGTTGGACATATTGGCCGTAGAAATGTCTGCCTTCTCTCGAATATAATGGACCTAGATGACACTCAGCTTGTGGTGCTCAAAGAAAACAAAGGGAAGGTTGAAAAGATCAACAACAACGTCTCTTTCCAGAAATCAGGCCCAGTTACTCAAGATAATCCACAGATCCCCAGTTAGGAGGCAGGTTGGGGTGGTGGATGGGTCACAAAACACAGGCTTTCCCCAGGAGACTTAAAGTGGACTATGAGATATTTTAAGTTACATACTCACCATGTTTCTTCTCCTAACCTAAACCCAAAGTTGCCCTACCATGTTTTTTTAACGCAACGTTTACGTCTTTATTTACAGTGTGTGTTTTGTGTGTGTACTGTGCAAAGGGTGAAAATGAGCTGTATCGCTTATGAAAATCAGGAACTCCAGACGGCATGTCAGAAGACTCCACTCGCAAATATCCGGATGGGACTGGGCTCAAAATGCAAAGCGCTGTCAATCACAAAGGGGTTCCGCTTTTAGACAATTCCTCCATGCATACACCGAGCGTCCTCTCCCGCCTTCTGCTCCATTCATTCAAGCTGAGCCTCCCTGGATGTGACGATTTTGTTGCATTTATCCAATGAGCGTCTCACTTTGCTGCATGAAAGAACTGGCTCAGCGCTGTCTCATAGGAACGCTTAGAGGTTCCGCTTCCACCGTGGTGACATGAGAATGTATGACAGGGAGGTCGCGTTTGAAAACTGGTGATAAACAGCTGATGTTTGAACATCATAGTCATGTTAAACGCATCCTAGCGCATGTTTAGTGCCATGTAAATTCTGATTTTAATGTAAATTCAATAGTGCATATTTGACCATTTCTTCTATGAAATTTCAATCGCCCCTGGTAGGATATCATACAAACTGTGTGTGCACTTTTATAGGATATGATAAAAACTGTTGTATGAGGATACATTGCACGAGCACGAGCCTTTCGTCTGTGAGTAGATATGCTTTCTTCTGTATAGCGATATGGTTGGTGTGAATGGTTTGTTAGAACCAGAGTCCCTACATGAAACTGCTCACAACAAGGTCCTTGGTTATCTTGAGGTCATGATTTCTGGGAAGAGACATTGCTGTTAAGTTTTTCCAACACATTCTCACTACGACCTCGCCACATATTGCCTCTTGGTCGTGGACTTTCCACTGCTACATATGATGTGCAAGGTGGCCTGGGTGCGTCTTTTGTTGATGTTCTGGGATGCCATTTCAGCTTCAGCCTGTTACATGCATTGTGTCTTTTCGAAGTACACTTCTGTTTTCACAAGAAATGAACAGTTGGCATACAGTCTCTTTCAAAATACACGTACTATGTTGGTATAACACCACGATTTGACGTTTTTCTCCTTCAACGGGTCCGTGTCATGCCAATGTGAAAGGACAGCTTTTTTTGTTGGCATTGAACACAGAAATCACTGCCCAAGCAGAAGCAGTCGACGACTTCAAAATGAGACCAGGTTGGTTTTTCAAATTTATTTTTTGGCACTCTGAGCACCACAAGCCAAGTGCCATCTAGTTCCATTATAGTGAATAGAAGACAGAGATCTAAATGACTGATATCGCCAGCACTCTGCAACTCACATCAAAACAATCTAGACTGATACATAGCACTACAGGAAAGGAAAATATGCATTTTCGATTTTGCGGTGAACTGTCCCTTTAACAAAGTAGTGATGTTTCCATATTTTTAACTAAGTTAGTGACCTTTAGAGATGTTGGGAGGCAAATCCTAATACCTTTTGACAGAGCCAGGCTGGCTGTTTTCAGTCTTTATGCTAAACAAAGCTAAGCTAAGAGACTGCTGGCTTTTGCTTCAGACAAAATGTTACTCATCTTCTCATCAGTGAGACAATTAAGTTCAAAATGTTGAACTATTTCTTCCACAGACTCCTCAAATTATTTCTTCTAATTGAAAATATCATCATCCTCAAATCAGGACCACAGTCCTCATGAAAGGTTTTAAATCTCTTCTTTACAATCTTTGATGGGCAACCTGATTTTATTTCTCCTTTTTCTCTTTTCCCTTGCTTCCTCTTCCTCCTTTGCATCCACACAGTAAAATAATTAGTTGGAGTCATTTTGGGAAGTACAGCTAAGGCCGTGTCTTCCTCCTGCCCTCTCCTCTGCTCGCATCACCAAAGGGACCTCTGGGGCAGTTATACCGCATTGACGTGTGCAGACTCAACAAGCCTGCAGCCTTTCCACTCACTCTCTCACACACACACACACACACACACACACACACACGGACACACACCCCTCTTTTCCTCTGCAAAGCCTGAAGAGACCCGTGACCCACCAGCTGAGGCTGCTTCAACACATCATGAGTGTGCAATAAAAGGGATTGCCTGTCATGGTTCTCCTACCTTCCCTCTTGACATGAAGCCTGTGTGGCGAGAAAAGCTGCTGCAGAAAGGCAGATTTGATTAGAAGTTATTGATCTGCTCCTTGCTTCAGATTTGATGAACTGACATCGACAATAAGCTATCAGCGTTTGGTAGCCTCTTGATAACAGGACTGTCTTCTGGGTCTGTGCTGCTGAAGTGTCCTTTAGCTCCAGTGTTGTCCTGCAGCTGATCCTGACCTTTGACCTCCCTGTTGTAATGGCGGTGAGGGAACAAGGTGGACAAATGCTTCATAGGGATCAATAAAACATCACATAACTGGATTATTTCTAGTTCAAATGGCGGGCTGCCAACACCTGAAGGTTTCCATGCTTCCTATATGAAACGTCATGACCTCCATACCCTCATCCTCATCCTCAGTGAGGGAACCAGCAGCTGAACCACAGTGTGCCTAATGCAGATAAAAACTGGCTTGCTGCCAAAGACATGCTTTTACACAACTTCAGTCTCTGGGTTTAAAGATTTAATTTCCTTATCAGTTAACAAAGAGTAGAATTAAAAGAGATAAAGTTTGGTTTCACGGCTCAACCAAAGAAAAAGCTTTGGTCTCCTGTAGCTGCTCCCTCCTGAGCCTCTTAAAAGTGTGTTTTAATTAACTTAAATCTTCAATGAGGGGATTTCTGCTTTGATTGGAGGAGATAAGTCTGGTTTCAATGGCTGCCGGGTATTAAATGTCTTCCCTGGGGAGATTTCTGACTGTTATCGCTTTCTGTTTGTTGTCATGTCACACTGTGTCGATCAAGACGGCGGAGAGTGAAACTGACGCCCGACGGGGGAGCGCACAGGGCGGGCAGGGGGGATGCGAGGACCGGGGCGCTTAAATCTTTTATCTGAAGAATGGCCGCTCCGGCGATAACAGGATTGTCGTATCCCCACTAGCTCCTGACCCATATTCCCGAGGAAAACGTTGTTTGCATCGCTCAAGAAGAATTAAGGGGTGCTCTTTTCTGTACAGCCGGTTTCCGCTGCGCGCAATCACAGCTCCAGGACCAGCGGTGGAGTCGGTGCGCTCTGGCAGAAAGCATCCAGCCTCCTCCTCTCTGGGCTCAGACAGCACTCACTGCTGCTCCTCATGTCTCCAAGCCTCAGCTATCAGCCGTCATTAGCGGAATGAAGCCGCTATAATCCTGCCTGACCTCTTCTTTTTATTGTTTCACTCTTTCCTTACTTCACACCGAGGGCAGAAAGAAGGAAACCCACACGAGAGGCGCTCTCCATCTGTAAGTTTTCGTGTGTGTGTCGCACTGGAGGGGAGGAAGAGATGGCAGCCCCGGTGAAAGCAGCGTTGGGTCTCCTGGTTCTCACCGCGGCAAGTGAGTAATCCTTTCAAATCCTCCCGGAACGGGACGGGACAGGACAGGGGGGCTTCTACTTTGCGCTTTAATCAGTCTTTGGCTGTCCCTTGTAATATAACACACTCTCTCTGGGCTCTGTGCATGCCAATTAATATAACAGCCTCGGTCTGTGGAGTGTATGGATGTTAGGAACTTAATTTAACACCACATGTGCTTTGCAGCTGAAACACCACAACACCTCAGCTCCTATAGGCTGACAGCCTAATACTCTGCAGAAGTTTTCAAAATTTGGGGAAATGTTTAAGCCACAATTTAACCGTTACAGACAGCACGTGATACCGGAAAGCAGGCCGGTGGGAAAAATAGTGGCATTTCCGTGCGTCAGACAGTTTGGCACGTGATTTTTTTTACAGCACGCCTCAATTAATTAACTTCCCCCTCTTTTACACAACACGGAGTCTTAATGGAATTGGCTAATACGCGCACGGGTGTGATGTTGGAGATGGGTGCATTGCTTTTGCACACATTTCCCCTCCCTTGTTGGATGATGCGGCTGTAATTGCGCACTCAAATCTACCTGAAATCTCATCATGATGTTGTGTGGCCCTCACTGAATGGCCTGCAGTGTGCGCAGAGGTCCTCTGATGGTAACAACAGGGAGGTGAATGGCCTGTACCTTGACTCACCTCAATCAGATGGCGGTCATAGTAGTATTGTTTTTGGTTTCTATCAATTGAAGCAACTTAGGTGGAGTCCTGAATCAGGCACTGGAGGGGAATCCCATTCATGAGCTGTCCATGGTGCTGACAGGGGATCTCAATGTGTCGGTGTATGATCTGCTGCAGCGCTCAACAGGGCAAATCCCAGTTTCCAATGTCTGCTTCCTCAGATTCAATGAGTGTGCTTAGACAGATGATAAACCTGATAACAAAGTGGGTTACTGTATAAAGAAATGTTCATATTAATATATAATTAGGAATGTTTGTTTATATGTCACTTACACAACATGAAGTTCATTGGGAGACATTATGCAGATGGTCAGTTTCCACTTTATACTTCTTATGACTTTCAACTCCTCTTTTTCATACCCTTTCTGAGAATTACAGTTATGTTACATGTGCATCTAATTTTTGCATTTGCAGTACTAAAAACTCCCTAAAACTTCAGCTTATTTTAGGTGAGTCTTGATAGAGAGGGCACTTTTTTTCCATGATACACCTGATTTATTTTTTTTATTAATGCCAACATAGCTGGTGGTGATTGTGTTGGTACAGCATGGCAGCTCAAATTTAACCGCACACACCATAGATAGATGGCAGGTAGGAGCGATAAATTCAACAGCGCATACAAAAAGAAAATGCCTGAATCTGAAAATATGCACAGTAAAAAATACATGATATGAATACTCCAGGCTCTTCTTATGCAAACAGTCAAGTTCAAGTTGAGTCCAGTGCCTGCAGAGCACATACATTTCAAGTTAACAAATACAGACCTTCTGCAATTTGTGAATCTATTTATTTAGGTAGTCTCCCTGTAATTGTTCCCACCCCCTTCTTCTGTCTTCCCCACTTTCCCTTTCCTTAACCTCTTTATTCCCCTATTTGTCTAACAGCTCCACCTCTGTCTCTTTTCTGTGACTCTTTCAGTATCACCTGTCTGCAGCCGAGGCATTGCATGACCGTGCCTCTGTCACTCCTATCAAACTTCACCCTGGCTGCTACAGTAAAAACGACACAATGCAGACAGCCACTTTGATGGGACACATTTACTTTCGGTCTCTTGTCGCTCTCTGTGTTACTCTCTGTCACTTTCCTGCATGCCACATTTCTTTCCATATTTCATATTATATTTTTCCTTTCCTTCTCTTCTGCTGTAACTTATCTGACATATTGAGTTCCTCACAACGCACACCCATCGCGTATCAGCTGCACACTGTAGTAAATGTGCAAATGTGTGCTAAAGCTACCCCTGCTTAGATGTTTTGCTCATTAAAAGCTTGTGAAATACCTAGGAGTGCGAGAAGGGGTATTGCACGCTATCTGTGTGTGACAACCCTGGCTCTGCTTCTCTGTAGCCCTTGGCTGAAGCTTTACATGTGGGCGGGCGTAAATATGCAGCTCTAAGTTTTGTCCTGGGGTCATTCTATAGCTGTTGTTTCTCACGGGTTTAAAAACTGCTTTCTCATAACTGCAGATGTGTGTTCGGTTGAGAGGGCTCAGCATCGGTGAGTCAACACTTCATAGTAAACTGTTAGTCACTGCGTTGGCTCACTTGTTTGGATGTTGCTCTTTGAATGAGAGAAAAGATGAGGAGAGAGATATATATATGTCGTTTTAGCCAGAGAGCTGCATCTGAATTATTTGGAAGAAACCTATTCAGTGGGTACATGTGAGAGTGACATTGAGAGAGCTGAGAACAGAAGAAAGCCACTTTTCCTGCTGCTTTTGTCTCTCTTCAGCTCTCATCTCTGCCGAGAGGAAAAGAGCAAAGCAGGACAGAAAGACACGAGGGAGAGGCTGTGACAGATAAAGAAAATCATTGTAGTAAAACAACCCATTTGCCAGTTGGCATTACACAATTCTGCAAACAACAGATTTGTTATATTTATACGTTTCATATGTGGCGGATATGTTAAAACTTAACATTTCTTTACAATTTTTAATTTTATGCTGTGACAACGCTGTGGTTAAAACGTGGTTAAGGTAAGGCACAAAAAACACTTCATTAGGGTTAGGACAACGTTTTGGCTTAAAATAACTCAGCTGGAAATGTCTTGAACTGTTGTAAAAAATACTAACTTTTGTTGCTACAAACACAGCTGGACATGTCCCGGTGTGGCGTTAAAAGACACACGTTTTGGTTGCTTCAAACATGGCTGGACATGTCCTGAATTCTCATAAAAAATACCCACATTTGTCGTTATAAACACAGCTGTAAATGTCCTGATGTGTTGTTATAAAACAGCCACTTTTGTCACTACAAACATGGCCATAAATGTCCCGATGTAACATTTATAAGGACCTGCTTCTGTTGCTACAAACATGTCATTGGTTCGACACCCCATTGGTTCGACATCCCATTAGTCCGACTGTCTGCGGTGCTGAATGGCTCGCGGTGGGCGTATGGTGCGCCGTGACCGGCTTGAGGCGGATCAGGCTCACGGCTTATGTGTTTGTCACTTTCTTTTTCATTTTAACCCACACCCTGATCTTTTCCTAACCCTAACCAAGTGGTTTTTGTGCCTAAACCTAACCTGACCTTAACCACAGGGCATCAGGATGATTTCGGAACGGACTTCGGAACAATGAGTTTATTATGGTCGGAACAATGGGATGTCGAACCAATGGGCTGTCGAACCAGTGGGCAGTTCCCCTACAAACACGGCTGTAAATGGTCCAATGTGATGTTAAAAAGTACCTGCTTTTGTCGCTTCAAACAAGGCTGGAATTGTCCCTAAGTGTCGTTAAAAAAAACACCCGGTTTTGTCATCACAAACATGGATGGACGTGTCCTGAACTCTCATTAAAAACATACCCACTTTTGTCGCCACAAACATGGCTGGACATGTCCTGAACGCTCATTGAAAACAGCTGCTTTTGTAGCTACAAGCACAGCTTTAAATGTCCTGATGTGACGTTAAAAAGTACATGCTTTTGTCACTACAAACAGGACTGGAAATGTTCCATCATGCCAATAAAAAACATCTGCTTTTGTTGCTACAATCATGGCTGGAACAAGTCCCGAACTCATTAAAAAATACCTGCATTTGTCGCTACAAACACAGGTGGAAATATCCTGATGTGTCATTACAAAACACCCACTTTTGCTGGTCTGGAACAGCAGTTTGCTTCTCTTTGCTGTCTGGTCTGGATGTAACGCTATCCACCATCCCCTAACCCTAACCCTAATGGTCAGAAACTCAGCTCACACACATATAATCTGAACTACATCGTATAAAACATACAAATGTAACATATCCATGGTTTGCAGACGTGAACTTCCAAATTTTTATTCTGGCAACTGGGTTGAGTAAAAAAAATGTTTAATTCTCACTGACTGAGGATGGACTGTGATGTGACAATCAAAAGTTTGAGAGCAAAAACCCAACCCCAAACCAAAATATCTCTCAGGCAGTAGACACACTGTGAGCAATGTCTTGCTGGAACCTGACCATGTGGCTGCAGATGCATATGAGTGGCACGTGCGTGTCTTTTATAGCATGACTGATATGAGCAGTGTACTGAGCAAAACCAAAGACAGCTGAATCCTAAATTGTTTTGGCCTCAGAAAGGCCACCCCAGATGGCAAAGCACTGAATAATTCACCACCCTAAAAACGAACCTACAGGATGCAGAATTTGGGTGCTTTTTCTCTCTGTATGCCTGACCGATGACACAGCCTGCCCATCCATCTGCATCACCCAAACAGCCGCAACACACCAGTGAATGTACTCTGAACGTACTTTTGTTACAGTTATAACATGTTCTGTATGTTGAAGTGGAGACAATGCCTTGACTTGATCTGCTTTTGGAAGACTCTGAGAATAATCTTCGATTGTGGTCGAGCCTCTGCTTGTGAGATGATGGCATTTTTATTTTAGCGGCGATGAATTATTGAGGTGTGGAGAGTGCAGCGAGGCGAACAGGAGTGTGTGTATATGTGTGTCTTTGTGCATACATGTGTGATGGGACCTGCTGGTAGACTCCCTAATGCTCCGTTACATCGACCTCATACACATCTCATTTTAGCCTCATCTACTGTTTTAGCATTTTCCATCAAACCCTTCTATACTACTCATACTGCGCCTCTTCCTCTGCCCTTCCCACGAGTCACATGAAGTCTTTAACAGTTTGGTAGGGTTTTTTTGTGCTGGGTTCATCTTAATGCCACCCCCTTTGCATTTTTAAGGCAACATGGCAACTCCTCTTTCTCAGTTGCAGAAATCAGTGAGCAGCCAGAGAAAAGCAAAGGCTAAAGTCACTACACTAAAGACGTCACTGCAGGCCATGGCGATTTGG